TCCTATTAGTGACGGAGCTCCGAGCTGCCTGAAGACGCATTCTTTAAACACCTAGACCACTTCGAGTGCCCCGGTGTCGCTCATAGGTTAGCAATAACGAACCCGGTGAAGTGATCCTCAGATCAACGTGCACTTGCTCTAGATGATCGGCTAACTTCATCCTATTAAGTTCATCGTCGAGGTAGACGCGCACAGACCTCAAATCCTCAAGCAGGAGCTGCATACGACTCTGCATCTTATCCAGAACAGTGTGAATTCCCATTATAAGTTGGGTATAGTAGAATTTACCCCACAGTAACATGAAAGAGCAGAGTTTGGAGCAATTCTCGCATAACACAATTGATTCGTAGCCCATGTTCATTTTCATGGCTGTTACAAACACAAATCACTTGAGTCCTCGGAATAGCTCGGTGATATTTGACATGGGAAATGGCTGGACGATAGTCTTATTGCTCGGTCTGCTTAATTTTTTCGATGCGGGATGCTCTATCCTTCTCAAGAAAATAGAAGGCCGGTGCTACCCCGGGGCTGCTAGAATCATGTATAAACCCTCCGAGAGTTTCAAGCCCAGCAACTTCCTTCTAGACCACGTCGAGGGATGCTTAAGAACCTTCTAATGGATGTGCGTGGTAAGGCTGTGCGTCGACCTTTAGCTAGAGACTGTAAACCCCCCTGGTATCATACTGATGGTACCTTCGCCTAAGACATCGAACAACAGCGGTAGCGCATTCCACTGGTTCTCATCGAGATGTTCGGGGACGTACACGGCTACGTCTACCTTGGCGTACCTGCCATCGAGGGGCACTCTCCCCACCGCGTAAACACCTTCTGGGATATCCGGTACATAGCGCTCAGAGGGGGCGTTAAAACTCGACTACATTGCCACTTCTAGTGCACTTGAGCCAATAGCACACCTACCAAGGTCAAGTGCCACCTGGAGAGCCAGAATCAAAATCTCGACAAAAAATATTATCATATATACAAGACTCAGCATCAGGTGCAGCGAGGTAACATGAGTGTCTAACGACACGGTTGGTTGTAATCTTCGGAAGCTAAAAATGAATTGGAAAGGTGACATTAGTTTGAAAGGTTTCACCTTTGGGCTTCCACTTCGTGATACATTTTGTGAGCTGCTTTGATTCAGGACGGACCTTGTACGAAAGAATACAGGTCGGAGCTTCAAAGCCTGCAAGAGCGCTCACAAGGCGTGACTTCGCTTTCCGTAAGGGGATAGTAACCTACAACGCAGTGATGACAGGATCTTCAGCAACCGGAGCTTCAGTGAACGCTTGGATAGGAGCTCGTGAGCTACTTGTACTCGTAGGTGGTGCTAACGAAGGTTTACACCGGCGTGCCGGTTTCTCCTCTTTGATATTGTAGTCGGTCTCAGTAACGGTCACGCTCATGTAATTAACTTTAACCTTACTCGGTTCTCGACTCTGCACTTTTTGGGGTTGTGACTGTGGGTCTTGTGGAATTCGCTCCAATTGTTCTTGCTGCTTCGTGTGCTTGCAATCAAATTGACTGTTGCGATTGCCGCTTCAGGCTTAAAAGTTCCTGCCTTTGGACGCTTTAGTGGGTTAGTTTTGATCTCGGGCCTCTTAGCAATGACGAAAATATGCAACGAGGTCTTCAAGCATCTCGTAAGCTTGGATACGCTTGTTGTAGTTTTTCCGCCACGATGCCGGCAAGTTCGACTCAACAATTTCACGAGCTGTTGCACCATTCTTTTCATACGGAAGCTATTGTACTTTAGAATTAAATAAAGGAGCCATCACATTAACGCATCGATTGCCTATAGTTGACTTTAAGGAACTGGTCCGAAAATTCGGCCCGTCTGTTTCCGGCTAGATCATTAGATTTTGTCCAGTGAGAGAGGAGAGACCCAGAACGTAGGTCTGGTGTGCGCGGTGTACAAGTACAAATAAAAGGATGTTCTTTCTATACCGGCATCACCGCTTCAAAATATCGGAAATCGGCGCACTCTAGAGCATCGATAAAGCGGCGATATCATCTGAGATAAGATGTTAATTCTCGATTATGTGCTAATTGCACAGAATTTTGCAAGCGATAGTAAATACTTGTAGTGGAAGGGTCAATTGCATCAACAGCGCATTCCTAACCTAATATATATAATTAAAATAGATCTTGAAAATTTAAATAGATGCGCTACCAGTCCATTTCTCTAGTTATTATGCGATACACGTACCTAGTGGCTTTAAGCGATATTATAGTGGCCTACAGAACCATTTAAGATACGGCACGTGGGGGGATTTTGTATGGCTCGACGTTTCTGTATTTAGGTAAGTGTGCCTACATCTAGAACATTTTGTGGACATGTTAACACTTCGTAGGACATTGGTAAAGTCCACTGCGTAGAACGTTGGTGTACTACTTTTGTTTTGGATGCAGGACCGTATCTCTGTCTGTACTCATTCCGTTTGGAGAAAAACTCCGCGATGAAGCTTTTTGTTTGGCGAAATCTGGTTATGGTACCAATAACAATGCTTTTATTAAGCCCCATGGGTTTGAGGCACAAGACACGAGCGAGGGAGTTCCCCATTCACCTCCAATGCATCCCCTTCAATCGCGAATATTGGAATTTTAGCGAGTCCATCACATTTTCAAAGCTCACCAGCTGTTTGTGTAACCATTTAAATTTTCATCTGTTGGGAAGTGTCGCGATTCTATTGGTGGAATCCCGTCCAATAAGCACTCAGTCTAGGTAGATGGCTGTGACGGCTTGAGGTCCTGGGTCCGTCACTTACCAGGGTTTTATTTACCACATGCTTTCTACTGCTAGTGTACGCCCGTAACGGCCTGAGCACTCTTACATCTGGTAGCACTTAGTAATCCGCCTAACGCTCACACGTCGATGAATGACGCATCAATAATGACGAGCATGTCACTGGAGTACTTGAGCTTCCCTGATATCTCGGGGAGGCGCTGCACCGTCCGGCCGCCGCGTCCGGCGAGGCTGTCATACAAACGTTGCTCGCGGCCGGCTGGAAGCCCAACAGCGCCTGGTCGCCCAGGGGATCATAGCTCGTGAGCTTCGTCAGCAAGTGTCATTATTCCCAAGAACAAGACCGACATCGTCAAGCTTGATGTAGTGGCGAAGTCGGCGGTCTCCCCCACTTAAACGTTGGTTCGCCGACGTGGGAAACGAGACTGAGGCTTGGCAACAGCCCGCCAAGCTTGCGCGTGCGCGCTTTCTGCTTTCAAAAATGACGGACAAATCAAAGGAATGGGCTCTTGGTAAGCTCAAGGATGATGCTAGCTGCTTCCCGACCATGACCTTCGCCATACCATTGGCAGAATCAGCCCGTAAGCCACGCTTCTACATGAAGCAATCGAGGGAACGCCTCCTCAGGTCTTAGAACAACTCCCTCGTTTAAAACGTCTGCCTTCAAGGCTTCGCCGAACTCGGCAACGGACATCTCGTCCCGCTCTAGCAGAGCGTTTACAGCGGGCAGAGCGTCCATAGTGGGCAGTGTGTGAAGGCTGATGTCGTCTTCGATCTTCCTCGTCAATCTATTCACGAAAATGTACAGCTGCTCGCAGTATCCACGCTGAGCCGCACGGATCGTCTCGCTGGACAGCTCGTCCAATGTCGAAGCCATCACAGACGTCCTTCGGCTTCTTCCCCTCCCCCCATGCGACCGTGCTCAGCCGGATGAGGGCGGTGCGGCGTCTCTGTCCTGTAGGCCAGCTACCAAATCTGTATTACTTAGTGGATTACGCGCTCCCCCACGCTCACTCTCACCAGGATTCAGCGGTTGACCGCCGACCTGACCTTTACTACTTCGCGTGCCGCCAAACGTAGATTCGGCCAAACGGCAACCTCGTTGTTAACAAGGTCTAGTATACCAATGTCTCGCACCACGACCGCATCGGCCTCGTGCTCGCGCAAAATGTGCTTCTTCCTCGAAGCAGAGGTGTGTTCAGGACTAACTAAAGCTCTACTAGAAGCTGGATGCGTACCGCCTAGCATCTTAAACTTTCTGTGGATCCATGAGCACGGCGCTGCCATCTCAAGGACGAGGTCATACCTCCAGTTCACTAACAGCCTTCCACGCTATCGAAGTTTTCAACTTCACACCAAGCCCCACAGCGACATGCGACACAGTAACTTGTGTCCCCGTCGCGAGACGGACAGAGATTGTATCTTTCTTAGCACTTCTAGTGCATCAGCATACTACTGACTCCCTTCCGGGGTGGGGCGACAAGCATAGCTACTCGAGGCTCCGAGTCAATCAAGACTCTCCATGGCTTCAAATATCCCTTCATGTTCGCTTGAACGACCAGCAAGCCCGGCTTTTATACACTCTTCTGCCTAGTTCTCCTCGCCTATTTAATTTTTACCGGTACAGTACTGTCCGATTACCTGATGATTAGGCTCTTGTTGCTATCTTATACCTTAAGATTTTATTTACCGTATTCCTTATGTGATTGGCGACGCTCGGTCATTAGCGACAAATCCAACAGCCAATCAAATTAAGTTACATTTTGTGTCGTCGCGCTTTATGTGTAATAGATTCTTACACACATTACTTATTTTTTTCTAATTTATGCTGGCAAAAGTTTACGCTAAATTAGCTGCATAATACCGAACGATCGCTACAGTAGTACTACCTATGATTCATAGGTTATGAATGTCCATTAGGGTCATTCATCACCTTATCCATAGCACCCTGACGCTGTTTTTTTAATCTCAAATAGTTTTCCTATGTACAAGTGTATCCGAGTACCATCTAGCTGAAACTGGATTCATTCGAGACAAGTGCACGGGGGGTTGGCACCAAATTTCGCGGGAGTTGATCTCGTCGTAAAGTCGATTGATCGCCAATTGCCGCAGCAAGGATCTTGATGCCTGTCGATGGTGCAGACGGCAAGGAACGAGTTATTAATTGGGTGCTTCAGTCTTCCACTGTGTGCTATAAACGCACGCGGATATCGAGTGGAAATCTTCTCGTAACCATGCGAGGAGCAGACTACCATCACCAGAGAGATCCTGGATTCTAGTACGCCAATTCTCTGCAGAGCCTACATAAAGCCAATAAGCCAAGACGATAATGGTAATAAATGGAGTACGTATGAGCTGACTTATACTCACCTCAATCGCCTTGCATTCCGCGCCGCCGTTTGCCGAGGTCGAGAATAGTAGCACGTCGAAGTCAGTGATATTATCTGGAACATCCAGATATTCCAGCTGCCAATTCCTGTGGCTACCAGCATGTTCTGGCTTGACGTGGATTTGACCTGGCTACGTGTTAGCTAGATATCGCTATGGCAGCTAAAATGGGGTTGCAGCTCGCACCTGTCGAGCCGTGAGGATCAATCTGACGAAATGCTGTTAGAAATGACGTGCTTTCGTCCCCTATCGTTACCGCACAAAACGTGGCCCCACTAAATGCTCCGTCGTCATCGTCATCCTGCTGATAATCAAAAGACGCTAGAGTTTCCTCCAGTAATATACTACTCACCACCAACAGTTAGAAGCAAAATTTGGGCAATAGCACTTAGTACGCACAAAGTCAGGCGAGCAGCAGCTCGTCTGGAGTCGACTGGATTGGTCCTTTCATCTCGCAACCTCCTTAGCAGCCCCTCTACCCTTTTCGACCGAGACGTGAGCGCTGGCAGCACCGACGCGCCGGTTCTATTGGTACTGCTGGGACGAATACCCTTCACTTTCGATCGGTTGATGGCAGTTGGAGTGCCTTGGGTTATAGACGCCTGCGGTGGTGCAGTAGGATATGGAGATAGCTGCTCGGGTTCATTGTCTCGAGAGAGGATCTCCGCTCGGTTCTTGTACATTTGACACACCGCAGCACGTGTGACACCAAATTCTCGCGCCAAAGATGCCTGTGGCTCCCCGTCAGCTACTCTCTTGATAATGCTACATCGGTCTCCGTGTCGAAGATAGTTTGGAGGTTTACGTTGCTTCCTTTTACTCGAAACTGGAGATGCTGGGCGTTGCTGGGGGAAGTCAAAAGCAGGTCTTTTGGACTCGAATGCCGTCTGGAAGCCGTCGGGTGTTCTGCGTTTCCCGGTTAGAGGGACGACGACCCTTGATGTATAGTCGCGTTGAGCGGTGAACACGGGACGCGTCTCCATTATTGACGCAATGGACCTCGCTGGGGTTAGCTTGGTAGGTAAGTCCAGAAATGGGTCCCTTCGCAGTCGTTGGCCACGGTTCCGTTGCAGGTAATGATATTAGCTTTCGCTTATTTATATAAAAGGGCAACATTACTTTAGTTGAAGTTGCGCTAAAATGAGTCTTATGTTGCCTTAATGACACGGTCAGTTGCTGGCGATCTTGTGGTAAATGATCGCAACGACCCTACTTGACATTTAAATGACTGGCTTTATATGGACCAGGCATTCCGAAATAATCATTGTATTGCTGCTTCAATACAATAGTTTACACTTAATTATTGATTTTTACAAATTGGATGACTTTGTCCAATTAGTTATTTTGTATTTACAGCAAAGTACTTTATTTTTTCGTAAAATCTAGTTTTTTCTGCTTTGTTTTGCGTAAATACGGAGCTCGGTCTCCAGACAGAATCGAATGGCTGTTAGCAACGGTCGCTCAAAACGCGAACCTGAGGCGCTCGTCTATCATTTTTGATCTCACCATGGCTCTCGCCAACACCTTCACGACCAAGCAAGTCTGCAGCTACTTTTTTACTGCCAGCTTGGCGACTTCCAGTCGGCCACCATGAAGCTTCAAGACGACAACGTAACGCTTCTCGATGTGCGCGATATCTTTGATGCGCTCATCGAGAAGCATTCCGTTGTGAAAAAGTATCTTGCTGCCGACGCAAATACGTGGACTTCGAGCGAGCGTGCGTTGTAGCCCTGTCAGGCGCCGTGGACGAGCTGACGAACGACCAGGAGCTGATGTTGCAGCCATTTGAGACGGTACCTGCAATTACGACACCGGACACCAGGCACGGACGCCCACAGGGCTTTGCCGACAGAGTCTTGGCGACTAGAAAAAAGCGGCGCTGTGCAAAGAAGATATTTGATGGTGTGCTTTTCATCCCGCCGACGTCAAACACCGTGGAGCGTCTTTTTAGTGTGGCGAAACATACTCTTTTCCACCATCGCCAGCGTATGCTGCCTATTCACCTTGAAACCGTGTTGTTCCTGAAGATGAATCGGCGTTTCTGGGACGCAAACACTGTAGCAGCTATCGTGAACGCAAAGTAATGTGCAGTGCCAAACATCTAAGTAGTTAATTTTCCAATACACTACTATTGATGTCAATTATTTATTTCTTAAGCTGTAGTTTTTGTAGCAATAGCTTATTTTGGCATGGACCTTCAATATGATTGCAATTGTATTATCGGAATGCCTGATATGGACGGTATCGTCCATAGGTCAGTAAATCAAGATGGACTTAGCACCGCTCCGTTATGTTGTATGTTGTCTCGAAGGCGTTGGGTAAATGAAGCAAGAATGGCGCACGCGTTTCCTTCTTTCTCACGGTACCCTACCGCGTCTACGTTGGAAAGTCTGAGGATGCCATTGGTGTGAATAGCTGCACTTTATGTACCAGATACCCATTTCAAAACGCCCGCGGACACTTCCGTGTGCGATGAGCGGTTTTGCAGACTCGTTCACTATCTTTACTCGCAAATAGGCCGTTTACGTGGCTGTCTTTTATCTGGGCTAGCAGGTTTACAGGGAAGAATGTTTTGCATAGATTCGAGCAACACTAGTAGGAGTTAAAATGTGTGAAAACCCAATGATACCCGTATGTGCTTAAAGCAATTGTCTCGGCAGTATCCGTTCTCGCCTTGCTATCTCTTCAGTATTGTATTCTACTTGCCAGTGGCCGTCGGCCGTCATGCTAGCCGACTGATGCTCGTGGATAGCATCCGAGGGACTACGAAGTACCTTCAGTAATGTAGCCACTAAATTTACCGGCGATTCGAAAGAGAATACGTGGCCTTGCTGGTCGAAATTCAGAACGAGCTCCACGGAAGTTAAGCCGCTACTGCCTACAAGATGATCAACAATCTCACGGTCTTGAAGATTGTGCAGCGACCTATCAAATAATCCAGGATACAAGACCTTGACTGTATCTTCCGTGAAAATTACTGTCATCTCTGCGCTAGCGTGCACCGTCACGGAACTCTTCGGATCATCAGCGCTATCCACGATACGCATCGTCTGCATTTTGATCTCGAGCCCTTGGTCTAACTTCGTGTACTTTTCCCACTGGCCCATAAAGGCTCGAATACCTTGGAAGTCTCGACAAACGATGTCCGGTCGGAACACGCTAGCCATATATCGGTCAATCACGGCGCTCCGGTCCTTATCGATTGTATTGTACCCATGTTGGAACTGCAGATAATACTCTCGTGTGAGATCCAGTACCACGCTGGAGCAATTGGTGCGCCACAGTATAGTGGCCGAGTCTCTCAACATCGCTGATCGCTCTAACGACGCGATACCTGCCTGCAAAGCACGGATAGCGACGCCCAAGGTATGTTCCTGTCCCAATTGAAGACGTCTTATTGTGGTGATTTGACGGCGCCGTGAAGCGCAGTTGCGGGTTGGTGTTGTATTGTGACGGCGGAGCGTGGTGCCGCTGATGACAGAGACACTTTGGCGATGATGAAATGCCACGGATCGGGCAAACCGACGAGCCAAGCTGGGTGATGGCATCGTTTCATCGAACTGGAGCCCCAGAACTAGGAGAGTACCGCGTAGAAAGGGAAGCATCTAACAGTTGACCTTGAGACGCAAATCGGCGAGTGAAAAATGTTCGGCTTGGATCCGAAAAGGACACCCTTCGGACGACGGGTGCGCTTTTATGGAGAAGAGACCTCATTGGCGCCGCTACACTGGTTGGGGCAGGAATGAGATGATAACAGCTCAGATATCTTAGCGTAATTACGAGGACGTATTATTACTGTTCAATTGGATTCGCTATCGCATATTACTCAAAGGAATTGGAGAACCAGCGTCCGAATAACTTGATCGCTGTGTTGCTGGCCACTTCGCTTAGTTGCTGTCGCGCCGTCGATTCGTATGGAGTGTGTGGAGCAGGGCTCGGAGGCTATGCTAGCTGACTAGTTAAACGGCATCGCGAGTGTTTACCTCCGTCCGTCCATGACGAAGTGCTGTATGGCCCCATCACAAATGTAGTAGTGTGAGCAGCCGCAGTAAGATACTCTCCATCGCACCTGCAGCACAGAACGCACGTGCTACTCAGAAGATGACGTGCTGCTCCCTGGGACCAGCAGGTGCGCCATATTGACCAGCCTTCCAGTGGAAGAAGGCAACTACATATGCTTGACGTTGAAGTAGGATTAGACAGCTAGCACTACGAGCGCCTAGGACAGCAGGACTAGTTAGCAGAGCGAGTAGCAAAGCTGTAAGCATCTAATTCGAACTCAGTTGTGGATTTACCATCAAGAACACAAATCGACGGTCAACCACGTGACAGTTTGATATATCAAATCGTAGCGTGACCTACGACAATACTACAACTCAAAAGATGGCTGAAGATATTACATTTGCAAAGACGAAGGCAAATGGCACCACCGCGAAGAAGAAAGTACCGGTGTTCAGACAAGGAACCTGCAAGCAATGGTTGCAGTGGATCCTGCGTCTACAAGAGTACTCAGCGTTCATGCAGTACAGCTACGAGCAAGAAGACCAGCTAGCGTTCGTTGAGGACATACAACTACTACTCTTCGACGAGGACCTACATTTCTTCAACGACTTTGTTCGCGAAGAGGTCCAGCTGCGACCGGACGTCGCTGTCGCTGGCCTGCGGCACCTCACTGCAAAGCACTGCCCCGCTGGCACGCGAGGCATGCTCATGGATGAGCTTACGCAGCTAAAGAAGAAGCGTGGTAATACTGTCAGACAGTATAGCTGCGAGTTCCGAATGCTGCTACGAATGATACCGTTTCTCGAGCACGGCGAGAATGAAGCCGTCGCCGAAGCAGATGCGGTACGGATGTACCGGCAAGGGATGCCGATAGATTGGCAGGTTGAATTCAATCGCATCTCCCGCATCTGGGACCTGGCGTCGATTGAGACTCAGTTTGAGCTCATCGAGAGAAACGAGCACGACGAAGCTATCCTACGAAGCAACCGTCCTCGGCGTAGCGAGCCCAAACAACAACGCGACCACCAGCGCGGAAACACTGGTCGTCAACAGCGCAATTAGCCGCGCAACCCTCGTGGCAATAATAACAGGGTAGCAAGCGGCAAGTACTGTAATTACTGCAAAAAGGACAACCACAGTGACGACCACTGCTTTCGAAACCCTGCGTCACCGGCTTACCGACCACGCCCTGGGAAGCACTACGCAGGACGGTCCAATGCTGGGGGCAGTGGCGGCTCAATGGCCGCTATGCAGGAGCAGCTGACTGACATGGCGGCAATGGTGAGCGCCATGCAGAAGCGTCAGAACGAGGAGTTCGCATCCATGCGATTCTACGACAGCGGTAATTCTGACATGATGGCGGCTATGAGGACGGAGGCTTGTATGAAGCCGACGGCGAAGACGCTCGACCCAAGTATGGAGGTGCAAATCCTCATGGGTAAGCATCGAGTGAAGGCGCTGCTGGACACAGGCTGCACTCGCTCGGCGATGGACCGCACGACGGCGGAACTTCTGAAGTCCGATGTCGTTCTACGGCCCGATGTTGCCAAATTTAGGAACGCCGATGGCTCAGTTGGCACGACCACGCACTGTGCGTCCGCGACGTATAAGCTGTTGGACTTCTCGCAAAGCAGGGCGTGCTCGCATGAGTTTCGCGTGACAGAGAAACTGCTCTACCCCATTATGCTCGGAAGAGACTTCATGAGACAGCAGCGAATGGTGCTAGACTTTGACCGGGGAACTGTAGAATGGGATGGCCTCGAAGTGAGGATGCTTGGGGAACCAAGCACCAGTCACACGACGGCAGCAGTGCTGCAAGCTGACATGGAGTGTAGATCAGCAATTGACGTGACGCCACCCGAGGAAGTGCCACTGGATAAGATGCTCGAAGGCAGCACACTATCGGCTGATGCAAAGGCTAAAATCATGATGTTGATAACGAAGTTTGAAGCCTTGTTTACGAGCCAGTTAGGAAGCATGAAGAGGGAGCCGTACGTCTTGCCCCTCAAACCTGACGCGAAGCCATTTGCAAGACGGCCATTTCCTATCCCTCGGGCTTACTACGAGGCCACTCGCCATGAGATCCAGAGACTTGTTGACATTGGCGTGCTGAAGCGGGATGCGACGTCGCCTTGGGCCTCCCCGGCATTCGTGGTCCCCAAGAAGGATGGAAGCGTGCGATTGGTGTGTGACTTCAGGGGGCTGAACAAGTTCCTACAGCGAAACTACTACCCAACGCGGGATCCTAAAGAGATGATTCGCTCGGTTGACAGACCGAAATACAAGTCCGCTTTCGACGTTCCTTCGAGCTAATATACCATTGCTCTCGCGCGTAGCAGCCAGCCCGTTACGTGCATCACGACACCGCTCGGAAAGTTCGTGTTCCTAAAACTGCCTATGGGCGTGTCGACCGCTCCGGACGAGTTCCAGGCTGCGATGGACGAGATCCTCGGGGACCTGGACTACGTGCGCGTGTACTTGGACGACATCTTGGTGACGTCGTCCACCTTCGAGGAGCATTTGCAGCACTTGGCTGTAGTGTTTGGTCGACTTCGTGATCACGGGCTAACACTACACCGTACGAAGTCAAAGATCTGTGCCTCAGTGATCGAGTACCTGGGGTATCAAATTTCGGATGATGGAATCTCGGCATTACCTAACAAGGTCACGGCGATTAATGCGATTGCCCCACCGAACAACCGCCGTGAAGTTCGTCGATTCGTTGGCATGGTCAACTTTTACAGCGACATGCTGCCACGCAGAGCGCAGCTACTGGCACCGCTGACTCGACTCACGTCCCCAGCAGTACAATTCCGCTGGTCGACAGAGGAACAGGCAGCTTTTGACGCAACCAAGGCAGCACTTTCAGAGTGCGTGCTTTTAGCGTTCCCGGCTTGCGGGGGCCCGTTCCACGTCTTCACGGACGCTTCGAAGCTTCAGCTTGGCGCCGTCATTTCGCAGGATGGCAAACCATTGGCTTTCTGGTCAAAGAAGTGTAACCATGCGCAGACCTCATACCCAGCTAACAGACTCGAGCTGTTAAGCATCGTGCTGGTACTGCGCGAGTTCCGGACACTGCTTTTGGGGCAGGAACTGCATCTGCACACCGACCACCTCAACCTGACCTACTCCACGTTCCACGACGTGCACATGATGCGGTGGAGACTGGAAATTGAGGAGTTTGGTCCGACTTTTCATTACGTTCCCGGCAGCAGCAACGTCGTTGCCGATGCGTTGTCAAGACTGCCCATCACCGATGAAAATGGCACCAAACTGGAGGAGAAGCCAACAGTCACAATGGCTGCCGTAGAAGCGGCTATGGGTGGAGCGTTCGCGGTGGACATGAGAGAAATTGCAACAGAGCAGAAGAACGACAAGGACTTAGGCGAATCCGAAGAACGGGAGATTGCTGGAGTACTGGTTCTAGTGCCATCCAAGTCGAAGAGGATACTGGTGCCGACTCGACTACGGCTCCGACTTGTACAAAACTACCATGACCTACTGCTGCACCCCAGAGCGGCAACGATGGTGAACACCATCGGGCAAGTGTTCTACTGGAGAGGAATGGAGCCTGATGTACGAAAGCTTACGGACAACTGCTTAGCGTGCTTGAAAGCAAAGCACCCGACGACTCGGTATGGCAAGTTGCCGCCGAAGTCGGTCGAAGTATGGCCGTGGTTTGAGATTGCTGTCGACTCGATCGGACCCTACGGACGGAAAGGCTTCCGAGCACTAACGATCATCGACACAGCAACGCGGCTCATCGAGATACTACCCCCTACGGACGCTACGAGCATGGAGGCGGCGTACCTGATGGACAGATACTGGTTTGCACGCTACCCCCGCCCGACACGCTGTATACACGATGGTGGAAGTGAGTTTAAACGAGAGTTCGCAGAACTACTGGAGAGCTACGGTGTGGAGAGTGTGGTGACCACGACCCGTAACCCTCAAGCCAACTCCGTCATCGAACGCGTGCACCGAGTGATTGGAGAGAAGATGAGGACAAAGAGCATCAATACACAAGACGAGTGGGCGAACTTCCTGAGCGACACCATGTTCGCCATGAGAGCGTCCAACCACTCAATGTTGAAGGCTTCACCGGCTCAGTTGGCATTCGGACGTGACATGCTGGTGAACATTGCCCACGAAACGGATTGGCAAG